AATAATGTAAAATCACAAATGGAGTCAGATAATTAAGTATACCCTGCAGTAGAATTGCCAGAGGTGAGTGCATACTCCTGGAGACACACCATCTGGTAAATGGTTCCTAAGTAAAATGTCAAACTACTCACAGCTTACAGAACATGGGTTACTCTGCGGTCCCTTTCTACGTTGGTAAGAGAACAAAAAACGTCCTCTCAGCATCTTAAAAATTCTGGACTGCATTTTTCCTCTAATTAAATGGATTTAATCAGAGGTAATAGCTATGATAGATCAAAACCAAACAGTCTAATGCAAGAATTGCTGTGCACTGTAAGTCCAGAATTTCTGGCTCTCATGGCAGAGCAATTAAATTTCTGTCATCTTTCTGTAGCAATGTGACTGCTGTAAGCAAGTTATAAATTTCAGACTCATTTTTCTGAGTTGTTCCACACATTCAAGATTATACATTCTTACTACAGCTCCTACAAATATGATGAGCTTTCTCAATATTCTGAAACCTGCTCTTAGGGAAGTTTCTGCTTTCTTAGCAGCAGTATTTATGAGATTTTAATTCTCACAACAAAACTAATTTCATGATGTGCCTTGTCAAAAGCAGGAACCTTGCCTATTCAGAAGTACAGAAAAACCTTGAGTCAGGTCTCTGATGTCTGAGGCTACCCAGGCCTCCTATTAAGTCCTCCAAATAGGAATGAAAAAAACGTGTTCTCTCAATCTCATCCTTAAACATTTTGCATTCATCTAAGACCTGTCCTACTTTTCTTTTGCAATTGCTAGAGACTTAGAAATAAGCTTGATGAGAAAACTAAACTCAGTTAATGGGTGTACAACCAAGCTTGTTTGTGTTCTGAGAAAGAAAAGGGCGATGTCCCCATCAGAAAAGAAAGTGGTTAAGAGGTAGCTGAGGAACGTGAGACATAATTCACAGTTGCTTGGACTTCATCACAGTTCTTTCAGCATCATTACTGCTAAGTGTACTTTTTTTCCAAGGCCCTACAGATACAAATTACTCCCAAGGCAACTAAATGCATCATCCCAAAAGCTGAGGACTGAGAAGGCAAATGAAAGAAGTACATGCTCATTTCTGCCACCTCCTACCTCCCAGAAGTGGGATCATATCACTAGCATCCACCAACTCTCACTGTTATCCCACTCAACAAACACAAATTCTTTTCAAAGAGAAACAAAGGGCTAAACTGAGGTGGAAGGGGAAGCACCACTGTATTTCATTATATACCAATCCAAGTGCAGGTCCTGCCTGCATGGCATACAGGCTGAACAGAATCTACAGCCTGAATTAAGATCTATCTCTGCTAGAAGAAAATACTTGTTTCTCATCTACTTTGCTATGATGTTAAAGATGAGAAAAGTAATCACAGTGGCAAACTCAGAAAGTAGAATGGCATACTTATTGAAGTAAACAGAGCAAAAAGGTTTAGATTTTGTTCACAGTCCAGAAATTTATAGAAAGTCTATAAAAACTAGGAGAAAAAAAGAAAACCATGTCCTGTTATTTTAACAAGTGAAAAATAATCATTTCAGATTTCCAGACTTCTATTTACTCTGTAGAATGATGAATGTGTACTATCTCAGTTACATATGTAATCAGACCCCATTTTGATTTTCACAGAATCATAGAATATCCTGAGCTCGAATAAGCCCCAAGAAAAACACCATGTGCCTGAGAGTGTTGTCCAAACCTTCATGAGCTCTGACAGGCTTGGTGCTGTGACCACTTCTCTGTGGAGCTTGTTCCACTGCAATTAGATAAGTGAATCCAATGACATCTATAGAATGACTTTACAGAAAAAAATTGGAAAACTATCAAAAGACAATACTTGGCAAGAATAATTTATTTATCCTAATGATTTTCAAGCATAAATGGTTACTACGCATGTGAAAATACACAATAATAAATATCTCATATAGTAACGTGCCTTTCTGGATCCTCCCAAAGATGAGGTACAGCAGCAACTCTTCAAGAGCACATTCCTACTCCTCACATTCCGCTGTGAAGATATTCAGCACCAATGATGCGACATTTCTGAAGCCCTCTGACCTTTTTTACCCTCTTTACTAAAATTTATTTATTTATTTATATGGCTCCTATGGTTATAGAAAATTATCACAGTTGTTTAAAAAGGTCTGGACTAGATGACCTAAGGAATTACTGCTATTAATAGTGGGAAGGAATATAAGAATGTGTATCTATGTAGATAGCTATCAAAGGAATTACTGAAGAAAACAGATATTAAATAAACACAGCACTTTGTGAACAGTCTTTGTTTGCAAATCAAAATCATAATTAGCAGCACAGATTATCAGGATTATTAATTTCTGCTTCCTCTACTGGTTAATTGACCCTATAACCATAAAAATAATGATAGTTTGTGCAAAATCTCCAGATTGTTGTGTTGCAAATCAACAGTCCAAAAATCTGAAACCAAATTATATTATTAAAAACAAACCTTATACACAGCAGACATCAATTCTAAATGTCACCTAAACTCATCAAAATGTCATAACAGAAGCAAAAGGACCTTGCAGTTTAAAAATATGTTTCCTATTATACCAGTTTGTTTGTGCGCCCAGTTCACAGACGTTTCACTTCCCTCAGAATTAGAAGTGCAATTAAACATTTCAAATTATGAATCATTGTAAGAAACCACTGTTAATTGGATTTTTTATTGAAAGCTCCTTTTTTCTCTTCCTCATACAAAACATCAGAAGCAAGCAAGCTGCAAAGCAGCCTCGATCACAGGACAAGTTGGGCTGTAAGGCAGGGTCCGGCAGCCCACCCGATCCACCCCCACACGAAGCTAATTCCAGCATAATTCAAGGTCTGAGTATAAGCAAACATCAAATCTGTGACAAAAAACAGCAAAACTCAAAAATCATGGCATCTGATCACAATTATTACTTAGCCACAAGCAGCATATTCTCTGGCTAATGCAAATGTCACTAGCAGCTTGAATCACCTAAAAGAACCAAAGAACACCTTATTTCTGAGCTTCGATGGACTTATACCTCTGAGACTCTGCATTTCATCTAAGCTGACAAAATATACTCTATAAATATTTATTTAGCATACAGCAGATTTATTTTTATTTCACAAAGCACAAATAATATCCATATAGCCAAAGGTTTTCTGATTACATCTCCTGGAGAGATAATTTAAATACTAATTTTAAATGTCAGCCTGTGAATAAGAGCCATTTAAATGCTCTTTAAGTGGTGTGAGTTGTAGTAAACATTAATGTATAATTAAGTTTAGTTAGTAAAAGTGAAAATAATGGCTGATTTCATTTACCGTGCTCAGTATGTTTTTTTATTAATAGATGAGCAAGAGAAACTTCTATTGTCATATACAGATTAGAAATGTAAACACTTAACACTTCCCACAACGACTGACTTCAGAATTGATTATTATCTCAAAAAGGCAAAGAACCAGCGTGATAAAGAGCACTACTGCCCCCTAATGAGCCAGCCCACAAAAGCTCCTCTGTAACGGCATTTTTTGTCTTTCCTAAGATAACTTCATTATATCCATGAGTTATGAAAAAAAAAAGCGACAAATTAAGACAACCATTAAGAATATATAAATCAAATTCACATCACATTTCTGTGCAAAAGGCACACACATAATTTTGAGGAGAAAAAAAAAGTACCTAGCAGTGATGATTTTCAGGTAACAATACTTAGTGCACCAAGAGATCATGAACATGCAATGTACAACAGAAAAATTATGTTCCCACACTTCTGTTAGTATATAAATAGATATTAGTCAATTTATTTACTAGGATATAATTATTCAGAAAAAAGCCTGTAGTTATCTTCACATCAGATTTTTAAATTTTAGTGTCTATACTGTTTTCTTATTGCACCGTTCTACCTAAATGCCAGTCACAAATCTATTCTAGGCTTGTAATTATTGCAAAGTAATTCCGATCTTGAAATCTAAACATACCCACAAAGAGAGAAAGAGAGGAAACAATCAAAAAAATCCACTTTCTGAATTCTTCTTGTACAGGAAACAGAAGAACTTTCTGTGTCATATAAAAGTGACATTTTTTCCTTTTTATTTTTTTTTAATTGTTTTGCCACAAGAACTGAATCTGTATGCAATGCTGCCCAATGCAGCTTGGGCGTAAACTCTGGTTCCTGTATGCGCATTTCAAAAATACAGATTGCAAATGCTGAAAAAAATACAGCTGTTGCAAGTCTTGTTGAGAAGCACAAACATAAGCTGTGTACTCTCTTTTTATTTCACCACAAATCAGAAAGCAGAACTGAGTTCTGATTTCTCCCCTCCAACTTCTTGTACTGAATTTTCCATAGATAAACATTCTGACAGACACTACGGAAGAAAAGACTCCAATTTCCATTAGCAAGATAAGGTTAAAAGCAAATCGTGTCTAATTTGAAACACTCTGGCTAACAAAAGAAACCAACTTTGTGAATAAAAATTATTAAAGAGTTTGGCACTGAAACACCTCCAGCTGCTAAAATTCTTGAACTTAAGACTCTACCTTAAAACCACCAAATACTGGCCTTCTGTGGCCTCACATATGAAGTAATCATTCATATAATACATAATTAGCACAGAAAGGTTGCAAGTGATGAGTAATGTCTTACATAACTACACACATGGCAGAAGGCTGCAAGCTGCTAGGTATTAAAAGCAAGAAGTACCAATCACATGCTATGTGATAAAAATAAATTATCTACAAAGATATTGTAAAGACCTAAAATAACCATATTCCATGGTATTTCTCCTGTTACAGCCCAAGGTGCTGGTAGCATGGATCTCAGTCTGCTGAATATGTATGCTATTATATCAGTACTCCACAATTTCAAGTGTTTACTATAACTTTCATGAAATGTAAAACTGAAAACATCCACGAAACTAACAACAATCAAGAGTTCCAACAGATGCTTCAGAACTTTAACATAAAGCCATCACCACAACTCATTCCAACTCTGTCCAAGGTATTTCTTACCTTTGAATCTTCATTGCTCACTCCCAGCTCTAGCACAGCTTGAGGAGACTTCAGCTTTGCTTGCTTGGACTCTGCCATTTGAAGATTAAGCTGCCATCCAATTGTCTCAAGCTATAAAACACAAATTTAGACTACAGTCAAATGGCACAGAAGCACTGAAGTCAATTTGCAATACTGCCAGTGGTATGTGTCAGTGAACATTGTGTCAGGCTTTACAAATGTTAAGTACTTGTATACTATGCATATTCCACAGATTCTCCTGGACTCCAAGACAGATTTGCTTCTCCCTTTTCAAAGTTACCATTCAAACTGCCTATGACTACTCGATATAAAGCACCCTCCTATGCCTCAGATCTGATGGAACCAATTCATAGAACACAACTAAGGATCCAGAATAAGGTAGTTTCCTCCCCTTGTGGAAGTTTATCAGAAAAGTTGCAGATTTAATTTAGTTTCATATTTATTTTTCTTTTAGGAAAAATAAAAAAAATAACCAATAAATAGTAAACCAGTTAAAAATGGTAATTTCTTAATCAACAAATCTACTCATGTGTGTTGTACCATATACAGATGTTAATGACAAAAATAATTCTGTTCTGCTTTTTGAATCACTACTGCTGAAATGCCAAAAACCAGCTAAGCATGTGAGCAACAGAATTTTTAATAGAAAGTTATAAAAAAACACATTTTAAATTGCTTTTTAATCATCAATAAAAAATTATATTCAAACATTATCAAGGTATACCTCACACATAAATGGAGCACACAAGAACAGAACTACAAGACTTTCACTAAATAACCTATCTGGCCTTCCTGAATAAAGAGAAGTGAAAATACAAAGTCTTACCACCTGGAAAGATAATGTACACACAAGTTCTTTTTAATCTAGAGTCTCCCCTCCACTAGTAAATATTGTGGCTGACTTGGTAAAAGCAGAAATGTGGCACATCTCAGTTAATCTCTTACCAGTCCAACAGTTCAGATAAAATCACTAACAGAATAAAGCCATGCCAGAGGCCCTGTACTGTGAACAGCAATACACGCCCTGCATCCTACAGTGACAGTAATCTCTAGATGAAAGATAACAAAGGGTGGCAAAAACATCTTCCATGGGCACAGCTTCAAGACAGAACATCCAAAATTTATTGCAGCTATACCACTTACATTTACACATTAATGTGTGTTATATTACATTTCTTTGTATGCTACATCAATACTATAACTATGTCATCATAACTATGTAACAAACACTGAAAGCCACATGACTAAGCAAAACAAAAGGAAAATTATCATGACATATTAACCACCACTGCCAGTCCAAAAGGGCTATGGAGTTTAGCCAAGACCAAAGTTAAGGGAAAGAGACAGTGTCAGACTGACTTTAAGTACAGAAACAGGACAGTAGGAAGAACTTCAGCAGGTCAGCCTGTAGTATGTCAGCTGCTCTGCAATCGATTAGGGTTTCAATCTGTGATAAAAACAAGTAAGTTTACATTTTAATCAAATCGATGAAAGCATGCAGACAACACAAACAGACTTGGTGAAGATGCGTTAAGTCTGGTCCAGTTCATTTTGTGGTAGGCATAGCTTTAGTAACAGCATGACCACAGCCTATGAATTAGAGGCTTTAAAGAAAAGTTTTATAAATTATAAAAGCAGATGAATTTTTAATCATAATTCTGCTTTGATTTCCTCTAACTCGATTACATCTTGGTTGGTAAAAATACCAGCGCATTGCCCTTCTCAGACAAAAGTAAAGAACACTACAAAGTGGATTCTGTGTACATGTTCAAGTCAATGACACTAATGGACAACTCTGCTAAGCCCCTGTGCTGGTCAATATTTTTCAGATAATTATACCAGCTAGATACAGCTAGAAACATTTTTCTCTCCACAAACTTCAATAAAATTTAGTAAAGAAATTAACTCCGGTTCTCTCAGGAGCATGAAGATACTCCCTTATTCTCGTTTTTTTATCAAGAGAAAAAGTTTAGTTCAGTTAAAGAAATTGGTAACAGTCGACAGAAAAGGACTCAAGTCCTGAGTTATGGTGGGAGCAGCCCAAAGCAGGCAACCAGGAACAGTACCACCTATAGATAGAACACCTGGGCACTAGGGTCAAACACAGGGACAGCAAGTAAGCTCAGGCTCTTAGTCCTGCAGTCTCTCAAGTTCCAACCCTGTGCTCCTCTATTTAGAAAGGACTTCCTATCAGCTACTTCAACAGTTCATTACAGCAGTATGGAAACTAAGCCTTAGACAGGTTAGCAGCTTTTTCTGCATTATAAAACAATGCCACTAGAGACAAAAAAAATATCCCAGAAAGTCTGACTTCTAAGACTTTTCTGAAGTTGTTAAATAGTCTACTCTATGTAGCATGTTCTTAATGTTGTAGCATGAAGAACAAACCATCAAAAATAAATAAATTAAAATTTGTGTCTTCTTTTTCACTTCTAATACACATCTATCCCAGAACATCATAGAGGGCTCAGAACAAATACAACCTACGTGGCAGCACAGTGGCCTGAGTTTATAGCTGAACAGCAGCCATAACTCTTGTTTTATATTGCTTTACCTTAAAATTACTTGTTTTCCTATACAATTCATGTCTCTTTTCTGTTTTAAACACAGTTGTATGAGAACAAGTTTTGATTAATAAATTACATACTGCCTAAGGCTTAAAAATGGTCTATTTTCTTGAAAGAAAAATGTCACACATATTTGGTTATGGTTATGTTTACTTAGAAGACATTCAATAGCCTGAAATGTCAATTAACCTTTTGAGAGTGGTGACATGTCTTTGCATGGCATTTGTGTCAAGGCACAGTATTTGTTAGCCACGAAGTGGCATACATTTTAGAGCCAATTTTTTTTCAAATATGAAAGGACTACAAAATTATTTTCTACAACAAGTCTTATAACAGAAGTGAAAACAGAATGATGGAAGACGCTATATGGTGCCAGAATCTGGGACATATTAACTGAAAAGCATTTACTGGGGAGGGGCAGAAATATTTCTCCATAACTAGCATGAAAACAAAGTCATGTTTTTAGCTACTGTAGACCTTTAGCTTCTTTTTACAATTTCTTATCAGCAGTTTAGAAATGTGCTGGCTACCTTGTTACTGCAACAATAAGCACTGTGGCAAATGTACTATTTAGTGCTGTAACTTCTCACTGGTATCTCTGGCACTCACTTAACCTCAGGGTTATGTTTAGAAAACAAAAAACAACAGATGCAAGCTGGAAAACAAGGAAAAAACTATAGATATTAAATAAAACCAATGGTAGTAAACGTATAAAAATGCTTCAGATCTGCTCCATGAACCCAGTGGCAAGTGATTCATGGCAACAAAGTTACACAGAAGCTTTTGACAACCCCTGTAAATCCTCAGTTCCTGTGTCCATTTTGTTTCACTCAGGCTTCCGAAGAGGATGTCATGATACCCAGGACTAAGAGAGATGGAAGAACTTACACACTTCCCCCTTCCAGCACTCACTCAGTACTAGCTGTAGAAGAGATAAGGTGTTATACCTGCTAAACCAGGTGTGTATCCACAGACACAGTGCTTCTCAGTGACCACCCACAACTGTCCCAGGTCACATCCACATTAGAAAGCAGCTAGTTCTCCTATTAAAAGAGGATCTGACCCTTCAACTGTAGATGAGCGGCACCTTTACAGGTACATAAATATATCATCTCTGTTCTATTATGAACTCTATGATAGCCACAGTCATTTTCCTCCAGCGTAAAACATGGGATCTTCCAACTCATGCCCACTGTCCTGTCCACCAGACTATTTTCCATGCTAAATAGTAGAATGTAGTATTTTACATAATAAGACAAGATCATCAGCAATCTAGCATAACTATGGTAAAACACCTGGGTCAAAGTCAGTTTCTGCAAAAAGCCCATGTGCACTAAATGTCAAGACAGCTTTCACAGTTTATCTAATATAAACTTCAAGCACGATCCCAAGCCAAATCAAGGATTTCACATAGCCAAAATTAACATCCACAGAATCCACCATTTCCCTCATCATTTATGGCCTATTATGTTTTTACATATTCTCTTGTCTCTTGCTGGCATATTTTTACCACAGTTCCTTACTTTCGCTTTTAATCTGCCCATAAACTTTACTAAAAATTAAACCCAAACTGGGAAGAAATTCAAGGAATCTGATAAACATAACAAGTTTCTATACTAGTTGTCAAAAAAAAAAGTTCTCTTAACTAAATAAATATATACTCATTATTGAGAAATCCAATAAATGTTCATTGGCAAAGAAATTCAGGCTAAACACAATCATCTTAACTATATAAGAACCAGGCTATCAGACTCATAAACAAAGGACTACGACTTTGAGAAGGAAAGCAGACTGAATGTCCAGAACAGTCATCCTTCAAGTTGGAAGGACCAAGAACAGAGCTAAAGTGACTGAGAAGCTCACATTGAACAAGATGTTGGTAAGAACCCAATTTGAGGAAAGAAAATAAGTGGAAATATTCTGAAATATGGAAAACTAAGAGTGGGAACAGAATTTCAGAAAATATGCAAGCACCTAAAATGTCTTCCCTGATACTTCCAACTTCAGCCATTCAAAATATCTGGAGCAGGGTGCAGTACTTTTAAAGGAAGATAGGAGAAAAGGGTTTAAATGCTCAGTCAGTACCGGAGCAGGGAAAGGGGATATTTTTTAGTTTTGGTCTTGTTTGATATAATCAGATCACACCTCCTGTCTATCGCTATACCTACAAAAACTAGAAAACTGGAGTTTTCATACAAATCACCTGCTTCCAGAAGGTGGAGCTTTCAGAAGGTCATCTAATGTCTTAACAAATCATTATAGAAACTAGAGAAGACCAGTATTACAGCTCTCAGAACTGATTGATACAGCACAGCTTACTTCTTACCACAATGCAAACATGGTGCCATAATACCATGCAAATTTCCCCCCCATGGCTAATCTGTGATTTGGCACCTATTTACCCCTTAGAAAGCGCTTTAAGCATTAGCTCAGAGAAACAGGAGCAACAAATGAGTAAACAAAGCACTGAACCTGCAAGAATTATGGTACAGAAATACTGCTTGGACACATAAAATCAACATG